TCCTTGTCCCTGTCAGCTTCTCCATGTGCCTGTCTTATTTCCTTCCCCACCTCTGCCTGAAGACCTCATGCTGATGGCGTGTTTAATATCTTTGGGATGACACAGGACGCACCCAACACGAATCCTGCCTCATCAACACAAGAAAGCCTGTTCCCAAACAGGATCATAGCTACACGCACTCGGTCTCTGCCAGCGAGTGCACTCCGACTCAGAGTTACACCGTAGGACAGAGCAGAACTGCCCGGTGGGTTTCCAGGACTGTGAGCCTGTGGGAGCCGAAGGTCTCATCTTTCTCCTCTGGAGAAGCTGGCCATGTCAAGCTGCTGGCCTTGTGGCGAGCAGCCCAGCTTAAGCCACTCCAACACATTTCACTGCTGCGAGTCCGTGACCCTCCACCATAGCACAGGGTAGAACTGACCCTGGACGTTTCCAAGACTGTAACTCTTTACGGGAGTAGAAAGCCCATCTTTATCTTGAGAAGCAGCTGGTGGTTTTGAACTGCTGACCTTGTCGTTAGCAGCCCAACAAGTAACCACTACGCCACCAGAGCTCCTTAACCACAGACACAGAGGTTAGGATTTCCAACTCACTTTCATGCAGGTACCCATCAGACACAGAAACCTCAACGATTTTCTACTGATGAGGCATGCAATGGAGGAGTGGTCAAAGCCGGGGAACGGAGAAGACCCGGAAGAACAAGGCAGCCCCTGGAGCCTGGCCCCCCCTGGGCCAGGTGTCTGAGCGTTCCACAGTGGTTTATTCCAGAGCAGATGCTGAAAGGTCCCATAGGTCAGCAGTACCCTGAGGTTTATTACCTGTGTCGTAAAGGAGCCTCCAAGGTCTTTGAAGGTGCCATGGAGTCACGATGGGTGGAATCAGGCTGGTGGCCGTGAGCTTGCCTGGGCTTTTGAGGTTCACTCCACCACAGGGTCTCCAAGGCCTGCGTGCACTGAGTGATTCTGTCGTCGCTGTCGGAACCCTGTGTGTGCTGACTGCACAGCCCGGCCTGGAGAGAGTCCCGCTACCGCCTCACCCTCTCATTATAAACGTCTCTGCGGGCCTGTGTGTGGACGGTGTGAACACGACGTACAGCCTGGATTTGGGATCTCCCTACACAGCACCCATCCGTCTGAAGTACAGGGAGAGCTACGCACGGAGGTGGGCTTAGAAACCCCAGCAGAGGGCCCCAGACATGAACTCACCCCCGTGGCTCAGCTCTTCCCCACCACAGGAGACAGCTCCACCAGGGAGGTAGCACACCTTAGCTCCTCAACCTTTGGAGACAGGAAGGGCAGCATGGACCCCAACGTGGGCTGAGCTTAAGCGGTCAAGAAAGGAGAGGCAAACACCAGAGGGTGAGGGGTCGGGGCGAGGGTGGTGAACGGGTTTGCTCTAGACTGTCACCCAGGTCACAGCACCAAGTTTAATAAACGGCGGGGGGAGCAGGGAAGGAGGCAGGCAGAGAAGACTGGGGAGAGCTGCCTGGTTTCCTGAATTCTTGTGCCTTCGTTTCTCGGCGCGGTTACTGTCTGCCAGGAGCCCGCTGCTCAGCGGCATCGCATGGGGCAACAGCTCAAAACCACCATCAGCTTCGGGCGAGAAGGACAGGCTTCGGCTTGGGAGACCGCAGGGTAGTTCTAGCCTGTCCTAGAGGGTCGCTAGCATCGGCACCAACTGGGGGCAGTGGGTTTGGGTTTGGTTTGGCTACTGTTTGCAGGAGAGAGGTGAGGCCGGCTATTCCTGTAAAGGTGTCTGGTCTTGGAAACCCGCAGGGATAGTGCTACTCTGCCCGATGCGGTGGAACCGACTCCATGGCGGTGCACTGGCTCACTGAGTGCAGAGCAGAGTCCATGACTGGGAAATCGTCCTTGCTGCACAAGGAGAATTCTGGGCAGGAGGCCGCGAATGCCCCACCTTCCTGGGGCGGACGGCATCATGAGCAAGCCTCCTTCATTGCTCGGCCTCTTGGCCCATCCTGCTCGCTGCCTGAATGCAGAGACAGTGGCAGCTGTGCTGGGGGGACCCCCCTCTCCCCCATCACTTCTTTTCTCCTCTGGCCTTTCTTGGTGCCCTTGACTGTTACTGAGACAGCGGCTTTGCTACAGAGGTTTGTGAAGGAGGTAGCATGGTAGACCAGGGGATGCCGAGCCTGGGAAGCATGGGTCTAGCGATGGTGGATTGGGCGTGTGTCTCCTCTTCCTCCTCCTCCTCCCTGCCTCGAGCCCTCTCACTCTGGGTCTCACTCTCCTCTTCCACGTGGTAGCTGTGTTCTATTAAGGTAGGAGAGTACTTAATTCTTGTGACCCATAGGATACCCACCTATCTTTTCCAGCTCTGGGGCTCTCCAGTCCCGCCTTTAGTGCACACTGCCATCTGCCGAGGGTCCGCATGAATCTGAGCAGACAGGCCTCATGACACCAGCTCTAGCACCAGACACCCCTCCTCTCCGAATTCTACTTCTCCACGGACTTTTTAAAGCCCCCTTGGATGTGTGCCACACACTGTGTATTACCTCCCAAAAAGGTCTCAAAAGAAAAAAATCTGTTTACATCTTTTTCAAAGTGATGGAAACATGTGGCTTTAGCAGACAGTTCAAAGCAGAAAATGGTTCTCTTGAGAGGGTTTAGGTCTCAGAGGCTCACCAAAAGCTGGCCTTCCTCTCGGAATAAAGGTGTGGCAGCCTGCGGCCGACGATGCAGCCTTGGAGACCGCGTGGGGCGGGGTTGGTCCATTCTGCATCGGCTCAGGACAGCGGCACGCGAGCAGCACCTGCTTCCCTGGAGTGACCCGTGCATGCCAAAGCCGAGCTTTGCGGCAGAGGGTTTTTATGGCTGGTTTTCAGCAGTGGGTACCAGATCTTTCTTCTGAGGCACCCCACCCCCAGGTGGACTCAAACCACCTGCCTCAAAATCAGCCAGCTGTTTGCGCCCTCTGGGGCTCATGGTCGTGGTCAAACCAAGTAGTGACACCTAACTTGGCCCTTAGGACCCAGTGGCTTAAGCATAGGGCTGTTAACCAGAAGGTCAGTGGTTTGAATCCACCAGCCACTCTGCAGGAGAAAGATGAGGCTGCCTGCCCCACTGCAGATTGACAGCTTCAGAAACCCCTTGGAGCAGTTCTGTTCCACTCCAACAGTGGGTGTGGTTTTGGCCTTGGAACTTGGATCCATCTCAACCAAGGAGTGGACACTGCCGAGCGCCGTCTGCACTGGCTTTCCATTCCCCTCCTTTTCCATGAGAAGGCCTGTCCCCTCTCAGTGGATGCCACCCACCTTGGGCAGGTTCCCTCTCGTCAACTGGAAGGTGCCCATCATCACCTGGCAGAGATTGGGGGAGGTGGGTGGCAGGGGGTGTTGGGCTCCCTAGCCTGGGCAGGGTCAGGACTCCTCCTTCAGGATCACTGAGACATGGACAGCATGCCAACTGGTTTTGACCCCAGTAGGCTTTCACAGGCCACTCCCCAAAGCTAGTCAAACATTTTAGCCACGTTTTTTGTTAATGGAAGGAGTTTCCGCTTATTTATAACCAATAGACTGTTCGTAATTGGGAAACTGCTCTAACAGGTTTATCCCCTGTTGGGGTTTTTTTTTGATCAGGAGGAGAAAGGGAACCTGGGTGGATCTGAGCCTGATCAACCACCTGCCCTGATTTAGAAAGGGCCCCCACTCATTTGTGGGCAGGGGGAATGTCTGGGCCGTTTGCCCCCATGGGTGGTCTAAAGCCCCCAAGGATGTCTGGGGATGGGCACACGCTGTGTGTCAGCCTGGCAGGGTGGGATGGTGGGGTTTAGGGAAACAGCAGTAGGTGTGGCGTGCAAATACCCCCTGCCGTTCATGCGCTCACACAGCGGGGCTGGAAGCACCAGCCAGCTGACTGCAGGACATGCACCTAGCTTCCAGACTTAGAATGGGCCAGAAAGAAAGACCTGGCGATCAGCCAATAAAACCAAGGATCAGACGTGGAGGCTGCAATAAAACCAAGGATCAGACGTGGAGGTCCTTTTAGTGTCGATCCTTTTTCCCACGAACGTTTTGGAGCCCCTCAGAATGGCCTGAGCTGCCACGAGATTGGGGTGATGCAGCTCTGGGCAGTGTGTCATTCCCTGTACTAGTAAGCTTTGAGGGTGTCTGGGAAAGGCCATCCTGCGTGGTGACAGAGAGGGACAGTGAGAAAGAGGAGACCCTTAGGGGATGGTCTGCAGCAGTGACCTACACACCAGGCCCAAACAAGGACACTTGTCAGGATGGCGCGGAGCGAGGGGTGTTTCTTTCTGTTGTACAAGAGCCGGAGCCGATTCATGACACCCAACAGCACTCAGTACATGGTCTAACGGACATCCTGCTGAACCTGGTTTCACATACCTACTTGGTTATTCCCAGGGGATGAGATGGGGGCGTTGGGTCAACAAATACCACTGTCGTTAAGTCCTCTTAGCACGTTGCCAAATCGTGTGCCAGAACCATGAAGCGAGTGCAGAGTCCCACCACCACTCCCACATCCCACCACCACTCCCACATCCCACCACCGGTGGACGGGGAGTACCAGCGGCCTCCCTCTCACTAGGCACTGCGGGCTTGGCTACCTTAGCTCATTAATATCTCTCAGAACGATAGTGAATGTGAACACTTTTAATATGGATGCAGGAGGGAGGTCACACCATTTGTGGCACGTCCCATTACCTTGTGATCCCATTGTCCTCACAAACGGTGTGATGTCTCCTGGAATATTTGGCCACTCCTGCCTTGGGCTCATTTCCAAATTCGTGAAAAAGAAGCGTCGCTCTGTTCGCAGGGGAGTGACTGAGCCGTCCCCACTGCAGTGGTGTCTCTCGCTTGTCCTTTCCTCTTGAGGATTTTCCATCTTATACAAAGCTCGGCGTGGGAAAGAAAATAAGGAAGTATGTTGTGGTTGGGGAAAAATCTTGTATGTGTTTATAAGCGTGAATGGCAGTTCTTTTCAAATGTCTGCTAAAAACTCTGCCCCTTCCTCCCTCTCCCCCAGGAAGGCCATTGAGGAGCTGCTCAAGGAGGCCAAGCGGGGCAAGACGCGGGCGGAGACCATGGGACCCATGGGCTGGTAAGTCCTTCCGCCCGCTTCCTCCAGGCTGACACAGTGAGAGGCATCCGAACAGGACGGGCGCGCGCCCACCCCTGGCACAAGGGCTGCGGCACAGCACGCACGTGGAGAGCAGGGGAGGCACAGGCCGAGTGCTGCTGCTGCCGCCGCTGCCACTTAGGGCTGCGTGCACCTGTTGCCTCTGGGGAGAAGCGGACGGGGCCAGGGGCCTGGGGCCCGTGTCTCCTACCTTCAACATCCCT